GTGGCCTCCAGAAGTTTCTTACTCTCAAACTAGTCTACACTCAACCTCCAGAAATTCATCAAAATTACCAGTTAAGTGTTCCCACCACTTCATGGCCTTAGCAGCTTCTGTTCTAGATAAGCATATCTCGGCTGTAACTCTCTAGTTTCACTTGTGTCCACATTTCAGGGTGGTGGATTGCCCTGCAACCTCAGTTCTCTAATGGGTCCAAGCAAAGATGCTGATTTTCAGTTTGTTCAGCTTTTTCTTGTGGTAAGGACAAGGGTGATGACTTTCAAGCTCTTCACATGTTGGAACTGAACCAGAAGTCCTCCACATATATCTATTTTAGCCCATCCTTTTAAGTGTATGTTTCTATTATTTTATAATGCACAGTATATGTTAGGACAATCAATATACACATATACAATTTAAAACCAATAAGAATATTTATATAGGGTTGCATGTTCAAAATATTTTACTGATGGAGGTAAACAATAAAAGTTTGGAGTCACTGTGCAAACCATGGTACCCAAGAACTGAAGAAATGGTCATCTGTTGCTCATTGCTGGGACTCCATCATTGACAGATCCAGTCTCCAGGCTAAATTACAGCCAAAGGAAGAGCTAGAAATCTTAGGTCCCCAAGTTAAAATGACAGAGCTGGGACCATTTACCCTTTGTTCATATTAGCCAACATAAACAAGTCTCAGACCCTCTAGGGGGTATTTACATAGTGTTTTTAAGTAAGGAGAGAGGGAAAAGTAGGTGGTAGGGCAGGGGTATCTAGGCAAATCAGAGCTTGTTTATGAATTAACCTTCAATAAGCTTGGTAACTGATCCTCACCAAACAGAAATCTTTTACGAGGACAAACAGTTAAGAGCCTCGAGGTTGTGGGTTTCCTGGAGGGCAGGCAGGGATGAGTTCCCATTTTTATTGTACCCTTAATTCCCCCAGCTCTGTACATACTTGGGGGCTCAATTAATGTTTGGTGAACTGTAGCTAAGGTGGTGTTGAAGGTAAATGTGGTATATTGGGGAATCTACTACTGCAAAAAACGTAACTCCATTCCAATACCTGGACCTCCAAATAGATGGACGAGATATCAGAGTAGTTGCTGCTGCCTTTCCAAGTAGCCAGCCCTGGAACTGGTGGGCAGGAGGACGATGAAGCGTGCCTCTGAATGCATATCCCAAGGAGAAGCTATACCTGCAACAACTAAAAACTGTAGCTACAAGTTGGGTATTTGAGTCACTATATAATACATTCCTTATAGCAGGGGCAGAACATCCAGTAGTCAAGGGTTTCAGTGGGCAAGTAGGAGAGGCCCAACTCAAATTAGCTTAAACCAAAAAAAAAAAAAAAAAAAGCTCATAGAATTTGAATGTTCAAGGGTGTTGTTGGATTCAGACACACCTAAATCCAGCCCTCAAACCTTGTCATCAAGATACAGTCCCTAATAGCATCTATCTATAGACCTATCATCTGTTTATCTATCTGTTCCCACCTCCTTTCCCTGCCCCCAGCCCCATCTGTTTCCTCTGAGTTGGCTTTAGTCTCAAGCAGACTAACTTCGCGAGGGGCAAAGGTGTCACTGGCGGCTTCAGGCTGACCTTCTACCAGTTTAGCAACCATAGCAGAAGAATGTACAGTTGACTCTCATGTAAACTGCCTGGGTCCACTTATACGCGGATTTTTTTTTTATATATAAATCCAGTATAGTACTGTAAATGTATTTTCTCTCCCTTATGATTTTCTTAATAATATTTTCTTCTCCCCAGCTAATGTTATTGTAAGAATACAGCATAGGATACATATAACATACAAAATATGTGTTAAGTGACTGTTTAGGTCATCGGTAAGCCTTCCAGTCAAGAGTAGGCTACTGGTATTAAGCTTTTAGGGAGTCAAAAGTGATATGTGGATTTTTGATTGTGCAGGGGTCGATGCCTCCAATCCCAGTGTAAATCAGGGGCCAATTATATATTTTTTTTCTCAATAGTTACAACAAAAGTCTTAGCGGATACCTCATTGACCCAGATTTGGTCATGTGCCCATCCCTGAACCAATCACTCTCACTCACTAGTTGCCCCTACTATATGTCTAGAGCTGGGTGAAGGGGGAAGCTCACCAGAAGGGTGTGATTTGACAGTGGAGCTGTTCCCCAGTGAAAAGGTGAGGTATAACCCTCGAAGAAGGGGATTTTCCAAGGAAGCAAAACACTGGGGAGACCAAAAAACATGTTCGCTATCCCTTACTTGGCTTCTTTTTAAGAGGAAGGAGTCTTGGAGCACCTGGGTGGGTCAGTTCGTTAAGTATCTGCCTCAGGTCATGATCCTGGGGTCCTGGGATCCAGCCCAGCCTCAGGCTCCCTGCTCAGCGGGGAGTCTGCTCCTCCCTCTCCCTCGCTGCTTGTTCTCTTTCTCTCACTCAGATAAATAAAATCTTTAAAATAATAATAATAAAAATTTTTAAAATTTTATTAAAGAGGAAGGAGTCTTGGTCTGGAATAATGAGTTTTACCTTGCCTTTGTGGGAAATGGTTTTTAAAAACGACAATCTGGGGGCACCTGGCTGGCTCAGTCAGCAGACCATGTGACTCTTGATCTCGGGGTTGTGGGCTCTATCCCCACATTGGGCAAGGAGCCTACTTAAAAAATAATAATAAAATCTTAAAAAAAAAAAAACCCCACACAACACAATCTGGATGTTGATGTTCTCTTTATTACCAGATTGTTACTGCTTCTAGTTTTTTGGGGGGATTTTTTTGGTGGGGGTTGTTTAGTTGTTTTCAATGCAGAGAGATAGGAAATATTTTCTTAGGAAAAAATAAATCATGAGTTGTGTTTATATATCTAATTCAACCCTAACATTGTAGAGTTGTTACTTAAATTATTTGATTTTGTAATATTACATATTTTCTTTTATGGTAAAAAAATCTTGGCACCTAATGACATTAATATAAGTTCTTATTTATCATATAGCATACATGTCAAAGTTTTGAAATAGTGACATTATTATTATTATTTATGATTCATATTTCTTTATGATTTGGGTTTTTGACCTTAGGATATATCCCAAAAGGAATAAAGAGTCAAAATATTACATTTTAAGTCACTTGAAATAATTCTTTTTATGTGTGTGGTCATGTCACCAACTTGATATGCAGTTAAGCTCCTTTGCTTCAATTTGCTTTTAGCTTTTACAAACTGTTTTTTTAAAAATTGTCTTTCTTGGGGCGCCTGGGTGGCTCAGTCGTTAAGCGCCTGCCTTCGGCTCAGGTCATGATCCCAGGGTCCTGGAACTGAGACCAGCATGGGGCGCCCTGCTCAGCAGGAAGCCTGCTTCTCCCTCCCCACTTCCCCGCTTGTGTTCCCTCTCTAGCTGTCTCTCTCTCCGTCAAATAAATAAATAAAATCTTTTTTTAAAAAATTGTCTTTCCTTTAATTTTGGCTTTAAGAAAAAAAAATTTTTTTAAGTAGGGCTCCATGCCCAACATGGGGCTTGAACTCATGACCCTGAAATCAAGAGTGGCAACACTCTACGGACTGAGCCAGCCAGGCACCGCTTGGCTTTTAATTATGTACAAATTTACTTGGTTCCTAAGTCAAAACTCTTTTCACTTATATTCAGTTTTACTTCCATCCCTATTCCCACCAGGTTATTCCCTCCTTCCCTCTATAGGTAAACTTTTTATGAATTCTTTTTTTTTTTAAAGATTTTATTTATTTATTCATGAGAGACAGAGAGAGAGAGAGAGAGAGAGGCAGAGGCAGAGGGAGAAGCAGGCTCCCCAGGAGCAAGGAGCCCGATGTGGGACTCGATCCCAGGACTCTGGGATCACGACCTGAGCCGAAGGCAGACGCTTAACCATCTGAGCCATCCAGGCGCCCCCCTTTCTATGAATTCTTGATTGGGGTTTATCCTTCCATTGCATTAAGAGTTTCAGACAAGAGGTGCATACGGTGTGACCTAAGCAAGACATTGCATCCAGTAGGAGGGAGCGATCCCCGAGTACAGGGAGCTTCTACTCACACGGGTATATGGAGTTGTCATGGGGGCTGGCATGGGGAGAGAGAGACACGCGCACACACACAAGGAGATACAGAGCGAGAGAGAGGGCTGGGTCACAGGGATAGCAAGACTTCTTCAAGCTCTGAGGAATGGTGTTAAAACCAAAACAAAGAATCTACAATTATTTCAAAATTTTCGAAGTTAAAAAACAAAGCGTAAGTCATAGAAAGAAAAAACAAGAGCGCCCTCTGTTGGCCGCTGTTGGGCTGCACATAATCTGTAGTAGCTGAAAACTGCGGGCCCGGGGTGTGTACCGGGTTAGCTTGAGTAAATAAATGTGCCCTGGGGCTCCCTGATCTCAGCTCAGGTCTTGATCTCTTAGAGTCGTGAGTTCAAGCCCCGAGCTAGGTGCCATACTGGGTGTGGCGCCTACTTAAAAAAAAAAAAAATGTACCTTCAACTGAGCAGGGGGCCTGCAGGGCCCACATCAAATTTACTCTCTGCTCTCCCCAGCTCTCAAGTGCTACAGACCCTGGGATCTATGCTGACTCTAAATATCTATGTTACCACATCTTGGCAAGAAAGATCTTTATTTTCCTTCCTGCACTTATTTTCCTGGCATAGAAAAAAAACAACAGCCATGCTTGCCGTTGTCCGTTGCCAAAGATATGACAGTAATGACATTGCCCTAACTCTCAAGGTATATCCTTACATAGATAGCATGTCAGTGTGTGGGAACAATGTAGAACAATGGGAAAAGGAGGCATGTTTCTGGCTTCCACCACTTATTAGCTGTGTGTCCTTGGGCAAATTCCTTAACCTCTCTGAGCCCTGGTTTCCTTGTCTGAAAAATAAGAATGATAGTATCCAATTCACAGGCTGTTTTGGGGGCTTAACTGAGCGGTGTGTACAACGCTCCTGATGTGGGATGTCAGCACAGCATTACATAAGGAGCCTCAATAAACAATAGCTCCTACTACTGTCATTATTTCCTTTCTGTTTCACAGGAAATTTGTGAGAATCCCCGATTTATCATCGGTGGAGCCAACAGAACTGACATCTGTCAAGGAGATCTAGGTAGGCAAGTCCCCTGAGATCATATCCAGCCAAACAATCAAGGGGTGATTAAAAGGTATGGTCCCTTTACGGGAAGTAAAGGGTCAATAATCTGGTTTTGGTCTTGATGCGTTTTGGAGAGGAGGCTTTTCTAACACTACTTCATGCCCATGTATGTATGTGCTGGTGATGGCTTCATTTACTTTCTGTTCCTCCCACATCTCTCATCAGTTCTTTGCCTCCTGTCACGGGAGCTATGCCTCGTTCTGCAGCATCCTCCCTAAAGTCTCAAGGACACTTGCGCACCCCACTCCGCAAGATAAAAGCCTTGCTTTTAACTGTACCCACTCCCTTAAAAGAGAGCTCTGAAATTCTGCTCACCAAGCATGTCCCTGGAATCTATATGGAATCTGTATGCACATGGAAAGTGCACTTGTAACTCACTCTCTTGTTGACAATGCCCCAGCGTCACTCCACATGAAAGGAGTCTTTCCACAAAGATGGCAGTTGCTATGGGATTCATGTCCAGTGTTCTGTCTGGGTGGTCAGCTTGGCTCTTCCACCAGACCTTCCTCTCAGGAAGTATTCTCTCCGGTGTGGACTGCGGGAAAGCTCTGCGAAGCAAAGTTCGAGAGACCATCAACAGGCATAGTTTAAAACTTGCGGGAAAAGAGCATCCAAGACCCAGTGAAATGAACTTGGCTTATTTGGCCCCAGAAAGAGAGGCTGAGGAGGTTTTCAGTATCTGGGTTCCTGCACCTGGGGGAAGGCTGCCTACAGAGCCCTGGGCAAGCTCATAATCTGGACCTTCTAACAGAAACTGTTTCAAAGGAGAGGCTTGCTTCCTCCGGGGGGGGGATGGCGGTGGGGAGGGCTGCTGGCCACTCTTAGTCTCCCCTCTGCAGGCTCAAGGATGCCATCACATCTGCACATCCAAACAAACCCATCCTCCTTAGAGGGCAGCTCTGTGACTGCGAGTGTACCAGGCATGCCCCCTGGGCATTCTCTCTCTCTCTCTCTCTCTCTCACACACACACACACACACACACACAGCAAAATGACTACACACCATGCTCTGCCAGAAAGGAAGTTCAGGGAATAAGAAAATATCCCCACCTCATTCCATTGTGAGCAATGTCTTCGTGCCCCCCGTAAACTGGTTGCAGGGCAGCTGCCTAACCGACTTTCCTTCCAGTACCAATGGGCTTGGCCGATGGCTCTCAGATGCTCAGCCTCCCCCGAAGGGGAGAAATGCACTCACGTTGCAAAGGTCTGGGCAGTGCAGATTTCATACGGGTGTTAGGAAGAATGACCCAATGTTGACCTACTGCTCTGTCTTCCTTGAGGCCCCAAAAGGAAGTGAGCTTATATTACAGATGGAGGAATGGCCTACAGCCTTCAGGAAAACCGGTCAGAAGGGAGTAGGTTACCCTGACCACATTGCCAAGGGACCGCTAGCAAACTGCTCTGGGTCGACACCTCTGGAAGTAGGACAGTGAACACTCAGTGACCTCGTTCAGCAGAAGGGTCAGCTGGGATGGGGCCTTTTTCCTCCCCGGACGTAACCCCTGCCCTGTACTTGCCTGCAGGGGACTGCTGGTTTCTCGCAGCCATTGCTTGCCTGACCCTGAACGAGCGCCTGCTTTTCCGAGTCATACCCCATGATCAGAGTTTCACCGAAAACTACGCGGGGATCTTCCACTTCCAGGTGAGGGAACTGGAGTGTGGTTAAGAGACCCAGCTGCTGTCCACCCAGCCCCGGTCTCCTGGCCTCGCCTTCCCAGCAGCTTCAGGAAAGCTTCCACCCACACCCTCCCTGCCTTGGCCGTGGGCAGGGACCTCCTTAAGGCCTCAGGCCTGCGAGGAAGCAGTTGTTTATCTCTGCCCCCTTAGCCTGTCTTCTCCTGCCCCCCACCTCCCGCTGTGCCCCAGAAAGGCAGGAAGACATCCTGTTTGCTGGCCTGTGGGTCTATTTTTGCCTCTCCAGCTGGCTGGCTGCTACGGTATTACCCACAGCCCTTCTCAAGTAGGTCCCCACCTACTAGCAATGGGAATCCGTAAGGCCCCTTGGTTCACGAAGGAAACAACGGGCGCCCTGCGTGATTATGGCTGCTTTTCTTGTTGCCCTTTAAGGCGGGTCTCTATGACCTCTCGCACTCCCCTTTTCTACGCCCTGGAAGGAAAGTCTGGTCAATGTGGGGACCAGGCTTCTGGTTCGGCCCCTCAATGAGTCTTTGGTTTCCAGACTCAATTAAACCACTGGAAATTTTCTAGATCCAAATTGTCCTGTCAGAGAGCCAAATCCTGGTGCTGGCCCAGCACTGAAGTGAGTTCCACATGTGGGGATCCGGCAGAGGCTGGGGCTCTGAGGCATCGATCTGTTTCTAGCCCTGGAAGCTCCTAATGTCCTGGAACTGACCTGAATCATCACTTGGTGTACCTGCTGATCTTGTACGTCAGCACTGAAGGCCTCAGAAAAGGTCCCTGATCAGGTTGAGGTTCACAGTCCTGCTGCCCCTGAGCATGGGTAAGGCAGCCAGGTCCTCATTTTTGTTTCTCTCCTGGGCCATCAAGCTGCTAAGTATTCCTCTGATATTTCAAGGGTCTTATGCCTCGAGGGTCATATATAAAGACCAGATAGATTTTTGCCCTCTTTTCAATGTCATTAGAAGGAGATTAAACCGTATTTGGCCTTCTTCAGTTAAAACTGATTTGTTCAAGAAAGAACAACATCCAGGGGCGCCTGGGTGGTTCTGTCGGTTAAGTGGCCGACTCTTGATTTGGGCTCAGGTCATGATCTCAGGGCCATGAGATTGAGCCCCATGTCGGTCTCTTTGCTCAGTGTGGAGTCTGCTTCAGATTCTCTCCCTCTCCATCCAGCTCATGCTCTATCTCAAATAAATAAATAAAACCTTAAAAAAAAAGAGAGAGAGGAGAACAACATCCAGAACTGGAATTAGTAGACAATGATCCTGTTATGGCCAGAGTATATTCTGGGGCACTTCCCTCTTCCCTGTCAATCTTTCTTCTTCAGGAGCAATTTCTACCTTGTTTGTCATCAAGAAATCTATAATCAATACATCACCTTCACCTAGACCAGTAGTTCTCAACACTGGCTGCACATTAGAGTCAATTAAAATACCTAAAATACAATACGTAGACCCCACTCCAGACCTACTGATCAGGAGAATGAAAATCTCAAGTCCTCAGATATGCACGGAGCACCTACCATCCCCAGGACGGGGCTGGACTGTGTGGAAGAGATAAAGTGGTAGGTACCTCACTTTCTGCCCCCGAGGAACTCACAGTCCAGTTAGACAAAGATATACACACACCCCAAACCATACGAGTATGGGCAAGCACCGAGGCGCAGAGTGGAGGAAATGGGACTGCTTGTCAAAGAGACTCTAAGGAATGTGGAGTAGAGACACGTTTCCCAAAGGTGATCTGACAATGTGACTTGTTGCTTTTGTGCAGTTCTGGCGCTATGGAGACTGGGTGGATGTGGTTATTGATGACTGCCTGCCGACTTACAACAATCAACTGGTTTTCACCAAATCCAACCACCGCAATGAATTCTGGAGTGCTCTGCTGGAGAAGGCTTATGCTAAGTAAGACAACACTTTAGCATGTGAGGCAGGGCTAGAGGTGGGGGGCCGCAAAATCCAGCCAAAGTCTTGTCACTAGAGGAGGTATTTGTGTTTGTGTGTGTGTGTGTGTGTGTATGTTCAACTGTGACCCAAAGTCAGAGACCATCAGGTCTAGGAAGCAATGGCTCAAACTAAAAACACTATATTTAAGAGTAGAATGAAGACATGTGTAGAAAATCTTTAGATTTAGTTTCCCATAGTGAGCACTTTAATTCTGCCTTTAGAATTAAAGGTTGGTGTTGCAAGTCTTGGATCTGAGCATTATATCTCTGAAGCTCACATCCCAGGGTCTTGCTTGGCTCAACCTCCTGATCTTGCAGTATATTAATAAAGTCATGTTATCTCTCAACTTCGAAGCTTCACCCCAGCTACTACTAATGGCTTTAATGGAACCCTTCCTTAGGGTTTGGGGTATGGTGGAAAGAGAACTATCAGGAGGCAGGAATAGCTGGGTTCTAGTCCCAGTGCTTCCGGGTCTCTGGTGCCTTGGGAAAGCCACTTGGCCTCTGGAGCTCAGTTTTTCCAATGTGAAGAAAGGGAGTCATAGTATCCATCCCATTAGCTTACAGGGTTGTTGGGGGATTAGATAAGAAAACATCACAGGACCCGAGAGTAAAATTCTGGTGGCATGGCACCTGGGTCATGTCTCCTGGAACCCTGTGACCTCAGATTGGTCTTCATTCTCTCTCCAAGGCTCCATGGTTCCTATGAGGCTCTGAAAGGCGGGAACACTACTGAGGCCATGGAGGACTTCACAGGAGGGGTGACCGAGTTTTTTGAGATCAAGGATGCTCCCAGAGACATGTACAAGATCATGAAGAAAGCCATCGAGAGAGGCTCCCTCATGGGCTGCTCCATTGATGTAAGTCTGGGGTGTGGGATGCAGGGCAGGGAGCTGCCGACTGTCAGGAAGCCTGTCGTGTGATGAATAGCAGCATAGGGCTTTCCTCCGGGACAGGGTGGATGTTTTGTTTTAGGAAGCAGGCACTGGCTCTCAACTTTGAAAATTTCTCAAGGAAGAAGTGTTCCTGGGGATTTTCACCAAAGAGATGGGGCAAAGACATTCCAAGCCCTGGACTTTAGGTAGAAATAGGTCCAGAGGCCTGTGTCAGCACGGGCCTCCTGTAGCCAGTGGGGTTCGGCCTCAGCATGGCCCAATTGAGCCGGCCACATATCTGGTTCTGGACCAGAGCCCGCCGTTCCCCAAGACAGCCTCCCAGTCCCTGAGCTTTGGTCTTGTCTCTCTTAGGACGTGGGCTTTGTGTTGTAACCTGAGAGACGCTTGGCCAGCAGGCACGGCCTCGGTGTGGCAGAGTGGTGTGAACCGAGACTGGGGCCAAGTTGGGAAGGACATGGTAGGCTGGCCAGGCCTCCTGACTTTCAGGAGACACACCTGCCCTGGAGGCTGCTTGGTGTGTAAGAGTCTTGGCACTTTCCATCACTGAGGAAGGGGCCCAAGCTGAATTCCTGAATTTCCTTCCTTTGCCCATACTCCAAATGGGTCCAAAAGCATGGGAAGATCATTTAGCATTAAACACCCACAGATGGACATTTTCTTTCCATATCACTTTTCTCCATCTTGTCTCCATTCATGCTGTTTCTCTCTCTTTTCCTTGTCTGTCCCCGTCCTTCTCTCTGTCTCCTTCCCTTTCCATCACCCTCCCTTGTTTGCTCTCCCTCCCTCTCCTGGACTGTCCTTGTCCCCGTCGGGCGTCAGGATGGCACAAACATGACCTATGGAACCTCACCTTCTGGACTGAAAATGGGGGAGTTGATTGCGCGGATGGTGAGGAATATGGATAACTCACAGCTCAGGGACTCAGACCTCGTCCCCAGAGGCTCAGATGACAGACCGACCCGGGTGTGTACACCTCCGGCTTTCAGGACTGACCACCCCTCTGACCTGCATGACCCGGGCCTCCTGGTGTTAGATTCCCCTTAGCAGCCAGGGCCTCCCACACTGACCTCTGCATGGGCCTCCCAAGGGTCTGGGCTGGAATAACTTGCCCGCTCCAAGGCTCCTGAAGAAGGTGGGAGAGACCGGTTTTGGAGGGAATCTCTGTGGGAGTTCCTTCATACCCGTGGTCCTGGCAGTTTCTCTGATAACAAATTAACAAACGGAAATACAAGAGAGACTTCACTTATTTTAAAATACTTCTCCTCTTCTAATTCATTCAATTGTTCCTTCAACACATGTTTATTGAGCTCCTACTGAGTGCCAGACACTCCTTCTAGTAAACAAACAAAATAGTTTTTGTTCACTAGAATAGTCTCTTCCCTCATGGAGCTATATTCTAGTACTTTCAGAAGTAATGCACATTCACTGAAGAATACTGCCTGAGCCATCCAGAAAAGCATAGAGGAAAAATTAACCTACATTCTCTCCCATCTAAAGGTAGTTAACTCTAAGGATCCAGTATACATCCACCTAGGATTTTTCTTTGCATACAGTTCATCTAAATGTTTGTTTTTAAAATCTCATACTCTTTGTAGTTATGCTTTTCTCAGCCAGCTTTATGTTCTTAATATGCCAATATGAATTATATTGTTAATGTGTCTCCTAAAACATTTTTTGGTGGCTGCACAGTATGCTGACATACAGATAAGTTATAATTTATTAACCCCATACCCTATTATTGGAAAATTGGATTGTTTTCTCTTTCTCGTGTTGGCTATTATTTTTAAATGCTATCATGAAAACATCCTAAGAGATGCATCTTTGTGCGTGTTGTGATGATCCTTTGGGACAGATTGCCAGTGGAGGATTGGCTAGGTGTGCATAAGTAATGCCAAAGGAGTCGTTGCAGGTGGTTTCCCAGGTCTAGACTTGAGGGATGTGTGGGTCTCCTGCCCCATCCCTTTCTATTCAGCATGATCTGGGTCATGTAAGGACTGAGATGTGGAAGACGCTAAGATGCCAAAAAGCCCCGGCTCCACCCACATCCCTGAGCTTGGAAAGGCTCACGATCTGCACAGCTCAGCATGGCTGCCGGAAGCTCTTCTTAAAGCTGTCACATTACCAGGCAACGTGAAGCCACAGAGATATGGTCTAGGGCTCACTGGGCGTTGGAGATCCTACCCCTCTGCCGAGCATCTCCTGGGGCTGCCACTTGGGAATTCCTGCAAATGGAAAAGCTTCTCCGGCCCCTTAGGCTGAGTCATGTCTGAGCAGGACTCGCCTCTGGCCTCCTCCAGATTCCCCTCCCTGGGCACTGTGACTCTTGATTTCTCGAGTATCATGTTCTTGGTGGGTCTGGAGGACATGAGGGGATATACGGAAAGGAGGTTAGACCTATACATTTCATCTGACCTCTTTTCTCACCTCTTTTCTCTTCCGGGAGGAATCAGCTCTGGGTGGGCTCAGGGGATGGGGGGAGCCTGAGTCCCAGGGCAGCCGCCATCTGTCCCTGTTCCTCCTCTGAAGACCGCAGGAGATCCAGAAAGGAGGGGCGGGGATGTTCTCACCTACCTCGACATCGTCCCAGCCTCACGGGGATCTCCAATGGTCAGAACAGACCTTTTCAGGGCCACCAGCTTGAGGGGAACCACTGGTCTTGGCTGTGCCTTCTTGCCTCTCTGAAAGGGCCGGCAGCGGTCCTCGCATGGTCGGGGGGCCCCCTTTCAGAGTGCGGAGGAGTCCTTGTCCTCACAGAACCTGGAAAATTACCTCATGTGCACTTTGTCTCAGAGGAGACAGAACTTCTGCCCCCCAACCCCTGACAGGCTGTCTGATTTTTGCTCCACAGACAATTGTTCCGGTTCAGTATGAAACAAGAATGGCTTGCGGGCTAGTCAAGGGCCATGCCTACTCTGTCACTGGGCTGGAGGAGGTGAGGCTGGTGCGGTGGGCGGGCTTGGGAGCCATTTGGGTCACCTCCCGGAGTCAGGACTTAGCTTCCTGGGCCCCTTCACCTCTGCAGAGCCTGCCTCCTCTTGGGGCGGGGCGGGTGTTCTGCTCAAGGTCTGGGTCCAGCGCCTGTGGCTGGAGGGCCCCCCCGCCACCCCCGCCCTGGGATGGGTAGAGGTGGATCTTGCCACAAGGTGGCGCTCAGATCATCTTTGCTTTCAGTGCTAAAGATGGCAGTTTTCCCCAACATTTCCAGGGAACAGATAGAAAGCGCTTTGGTTTTATGGAATTGATTTCACGGGCTCTCGTGTTTCCTGTTCTCTGGGAGTTGAACAGTTACAATATTTTGCTCCTCCTGGCACGTCTGGCTGGAGACAGGAAACTTGTCAGGACCACTGTGCACAGCTGGGCAGGCTGGGCCCCATCCACAGGGATGGGCAGAGACTGGAGGAAGGGGCACCTTTTTCTCATTGGTCCACCTGTGGGGGCCATTTGTCTGTATTCCCTCAGCCGGCAGGGGTGTTTTGTTGTTGGTGGTTTTTTTTCCTAATTCAAACAGAGACACCTACTGTGCTAGACTGGCCCCACAAAATACACCCTCCCTCCTCCCCTCAAGCTCATAATGGCCGGGAAAATCGCTTCTTAGTAGATAGTCAAGCCCTGACCGCTGCAGACTCAGTCTTAGGGTTCCGACATTCCCTCGGCCATTCCACAGAGAGCCTCTGATTAGTCTCCTTGACCAGGACCGGGCAGGACAGCCCCTGTACAGGATTCTCTCCCTAGCCCCATCCTAGCCCTCAGGGCAAGACAGAAAACCCCCTTTCCAGGAAGGCCCAGACCAAGAGAGCTTTTTCTCTTTGTCCAAGGCCCTGTTCAAGGGAGAGAAAGTGAAGCTGGTGCGGCTGCGGAACCCCTGGGGCCAGGTGGAGTGGAACGGCTCCTGGAGTGATGGGTAGGTGAGGGGGGCCCACAGAGCCTGGGGCCAGGCTGTGTTGGATACCGCACCATAAGAGTACTACAAATGCCTCGTCTAAAATTACCCTCAAAACCCATGATCCGCAGAGGGGAAGAGGGGATGTGGGCTCCAGGGAAGGGCCTGCAGAGGAGCCAGGGGAGCTGGGGATCCACAGACCCCACTGATGGCCATTGGCTGAAAAGGAAAGATTCTAGAAAGCATGAGCTAGGTCCAGGTAGAAGCAAAGTTTGAAGGCAGGGGTGTGGACTAGAGTAGTGATTTCCCTTCTCTGTTTCCTTCTCTGTAAAATGGGAACAATGTTACCACTTAGGCGGTGAGCTGGAGAGTGCCTAGCTAGTGCTAAGATTTCCTCTCCCTCGCTGCCCCTGAAAGATCTTGCCCCTTATCACCGAGAGGAACGAACTAGGTGCTGCAAAAGGAACAAACACAGGCAAGTTATATGATGGCTGGAAAACATTTACAAAGCTTTTAGAGTGCACCCAGTCACTGGTTCCCAAATGCCTCACTAAGTGGGGGGTAGCCCCTCGGGGTCTTTCATTCCCGAGAGGCCATAGCAGGACTGGGTCGCTGCATGAGGGCTCTTCAGCCCCTGGGCTTACCTCCACCCACGGCACTAGCATTGCTGGTTCATTCGGCTCTACCTTCACTTAGTTATCACCGAGCACCTGCTAGACAGCAGGCACAGGTCTGGGCACTGAGGATATTCCCTGAACAGGCAGCCTCCCCAGAGAGACTGGGGTAATCTGCTGACTCTAGTCTTCTTACTGCCTCTTGCAGACATTCGCAGCATTCCTTCCCTCAGCAGTGAGACAAATTGTCACTTCCTCTGTGCCCAGATGCTACTACCTGGGGACTTAGAAATGAACAGGGAGACACAGGCCCTGCCCCTGTGGACTTTAAGTTCCAGTGGGAAGGACAAAACGACCACTAATAAAGAAGATAAAGATCCCAAAGAGGGAGTCCCTCACCTAGTTTGGGTGGGATACGAAGAGTAGAGAAAGGTTGCCGGAGAGAGCCGCATAGGACTTAGGCTCTCTGCTCTGGGAAGGCCCTCGGGGCCCCGTCAGCAGTTCGCTGGCCCAGGTCACCCACCGGGACCCTCGCTGTGTTCTCCAGCCCCGTAGTTTGGTGTCCAGCCTTAACCCACATCCTGCCAATGCCTCCATGCTGGGACTGCTGACAAGTGGGGCCCATCTCTGGGTCACTCAAGGAGACCACCCTCCCTGCTCTAGGTCCCTCCTTCTGCTCTCCGGAACCTCAATTTCCCCTCGAGCATTCCCTGATCCCAAGCCCTTCCTCAATCCCTTACCTTGCCAAGGACAACCCAGTTTAGCTTTATTCTCCTCAGTGTGCCTGAAACACAAATGTGCTTCATTTCCTCCCTCCTGAGGAGAGTACGGAAAACCAGCCAGCCTTTAGAAACACGCAGCCAGGCTATTTCTTGAGGTGGCAGGAGAAAGGAAATGTTTACGTGCTTGGTCTTCTTAGAACTCAAACAGTTATTTATTAGAGGGCAGGCGCTGGTCTAAAACTTTTGCATGCATTTTTTTTAAAAATAATGTTTTATTGTTATGTTAATCACCATACATTACATCATTAGTTTTTGATGTAGTGTTCCATGATTCATTGTTTGTGCATAACACCCAGTGCTCCACGCAGAATGTGCCCTCTTTAATACCCATCACCAGGCTAACCCATCCCCCCACCCTTTTGCATGCATTTTGAATGCATTTCATTCATTGCTCGTCGCAGCCCTCTAAGTAGATGATAATACTCATTCCCCTTTCGCAGTTGGGGAAACGGACGGTGAGAGAGGTTAAGCGACATGCCCAAGGTTACACAGCTAGTACTGGTATTATTAAATGGAATCCTGGGGGGCGCCCGGGTAGCTCAGTCTGTTAAGTGTCCGACTCTTGATCTCAGCTCTGGTCTTAATCTCAGAGTTGTGAGTTTAAGCCCCATGTTGGGCTCCCTGCTGGGCATGAAGCCTACTTAAAAAAAAAAAAAAATTCTAAAACTAAATGGAATCCAGTTAGTCTATTTCCAGAGGTCAACTCTTAACCTTTAAAGTGTGAGGAGGGATAAAAACAAACAAACAAACAAAAAACAAAACAAAACAAAACTGAGCCAGAGAGGGATCAAGCCCTTACAAACCCATTTAAGGTCTTATTCCTGCGGATGGTGAGAAGCTATTATTGGGTTTTACACTGAGGGAGTCAGATCAGATTTCCATTTTGATGCTTCATGCTTGCTGCAATTGGGAGGCAGGCTAGTCTTTCAACTTTTTCATATTTCTCTTGATACCTCCTGCACCAACCTACATCAGGCCTCCCCTTCTTCTTCCTTCCCTAATTCCTCCATTTTCCCTCCAGTTGGAAGGACTGGAGCTTTGTAGACAAAGCTGAGAAGGCTCGTCTGCAGCACCAGGTCACTGAGGATGGAGAGTTCTGGTGAGTCCAAGACCCAGGAGGCCCCGAAAGGTAAAGGATGAGGTGGGGAGCTGAAATCTCAAACCTCAATCCCCAGAAAGAGGCCATCAGACCCCAGCCCTCAGGAGATCTGGGCCCTGTTCTCCTCCTCCAGTCCAAGGCCCAGCAAGGATGGGGTTCTGAGAGGAGCTGACCAGGTCACAGTGGTGACTGAGCCTGGGACCAAGCCAGCGTGATGTGGCTCCTGCCTCACCTGTGCCCCTCTGTGGCACATGCGGCTCCAGCTACTTGCTCCCTGGCCTTTGCAGAGCTGTCTTCTGAGCCAAGGCAGCTCTACTTTGCTCACCCAATGCCACGCTCACCCTTCACTCAGATCATTTCTACTCAGCCCTCAAGTCTCAGCTTAAAGGGAACTTTCTTCAGGATCCCCCTGTTTTGCCCACGCCTGGGATTAATTAGTGAGACTCATCATCCTCGAAATTGCTTGCTTAGTTGTCTGCCTCTCTTTCTGCTGAGCCCAGCACAGTGGCTGGGTCCAGTACGGAGGGACATGGTTCCACTGGAGAACTGAAGTGCTGCCACGCTCTCCCATCAAGGACACAGAAGTTTGAGTCATTACTGGAAGAGATGCTAGTTTGGGGTGGAGACATGAGAACAGTGTGTACCCTAAAAAGGAGAGACAGGGTCGTCTCCGGGCCCATCCCCAAGTTCGTCTGAACTGTCTGATCATGCTGCGCTCGTCCCAGCCTCCCACATGGGTCCCTCTCTTCCAACCCCTCAGGATGTCATATGACGATTTCATCTACCATTTCACAAAGCTGGAGATCTGCAACCTCACGGCCGATGCCCTGGAGTCCGACAAGCTGCAGACGTGGACAGTGTCCGTGAATGAGGGCCGCTGGGTGAGGGGCTGCTCTGCCGGAGGCTGCCGCAACTTCCCAGGTGGGAGAGGCTCTGGGTGGGGGAGGGGCCGCGCAGAACCAGTTCCAGGGGGAGCTGAGTCTGTACTAAGTTCCCGGGGGTATCTTGTCTTATGAAACCCTCCCCATTTTACCGAGAAGGAGACGGCCAGGCTGAGGAGCGTGCAGTAGGGAGCTGGTAACAACTTTTTTTTTTTTTTAAAGATTTTATTTATTTATTCATGAGAGACAGAGACAGAGAGAGGGGCAGAGGGAGAAGCAGGCTCCCAAGGAGCAGGGAGCCCGATGCGGAACTCGATCCCAGGACGCTGGGATCATGACCTGAGCCGAAGGCAGACGCTTAACCATCTGAGCCACCCAGGCGCCCTGGCAACAACTTTTAAGCAGGACACCGTGTCAGAACGATGCCGCATTCCTAATGCTGAGGATGGGGACTGAACCCAGAGTTAGCAGCGACGGCAAGGGTGCAAGCCAGAGATGATGAGAGCCAGAGCAAGTCCCAAGCAGCGGAGATGGAGGGAAGGGGGCAGGTTCAGGGGACAGAATATTGGGTGAAGTCCCTGAAGAGTGACTTCAAGTTTCCCAGTTTGGGGGGGGCCTGAGGGGATGGTGTCAGTGTCGCAACATAAGACACACAGGAGAAAAAACTCAGCGTGTTGTTGGCTTTTTGGTGGAGTTGGTCGTGGGCTTGTAGGGAGGGGAGTTGAGCTGGGGACGTGGGAAGTTTGAGGCCCCTGTAGAATATCCAGGTGAAGATGTGTCACAGAGAATTGGATGCACAGATTAGAATGGTCCTTGGTTGTATGATTAGAACTCAACATATATTTGTGGGAGAGAGGATGGAAAGAAGAGAAGAAGGAAGGAGGGAAGACAGAAGGGAGAGAGGGAGGGAGGGAGTCAAACGCACATGGGGGCTGGGATCTGCATCGTCATTATGCAGGGACAGTTAAAAAGTGGATGAGACGGCCTGGGGGCGTAGAACAGTGGGGTGGGAGAGAGGCCTGAGCCCACATCCCAGGGACCAACAGCATTTCAAGGGCAGGCGAGGAAAGGGAAGCCATCAGCAGAGACTGAGAATCACAGTTCAGAGAGGGAGGAGGAGCCAAACAGCCAAGCAGTGGGGCTCCACCTGTAGAAAGGTCCAGGCTACCCACTGCTCCCTCCAAGTCCTTTGACAAATGCCGGAATCACTCCTTCTGTATTTATTGAGCACCTAGAGGCAGGAGATAAGCAGGTCCCCTCTGTCTTATTCCTCTTCCTGCCCGTTCTCTGAGAGGCAGATCCGAACGTACGTTTCCTTCCTGGGGGGCACAGACACTTTCTGGACCAATCCCCAGTACCGTCTGAAGCTCCTGGAGGAGGACGATGACCCCGACGACTCTGAGGTGATCTGCAGCTTCCTGGTGGCCCTGATGCAGAAGAACCGGCGGAAGGACCGGAAGCTGGGGGCCAACCTGTTCACCATTGGCTTTGCCATCTACGAGGTGTGCAGCTCCTGACTGGCTTCAGCCCCAGACACACATACATTCCTCAGAGGGGAGGGTTTCGGGGGCTTCCCCAGTACTCAGTGACCCCCAGAACTCCTGGTATCAGGCCCACTTGTGTCAGAAGCTCTTAGATATTTGTCACAGGAGGAAAAAAACCTGGGATGGGGGAGGTGGGGTGGGGCTGGGGCTGGCTGGATAGGTGGTGGGAAATCAGGCTTCTGCACTCCCCGCATGGTTGCTGGCATTCCCTTCCTGCGTGATTTTCATCCTGATTCAGATGTGAAATCCACAGAATCTGAGCATCTTCTTTTTTCTGTTTCTCCTCAAGGTTCCCAAAGAGGTATAGAAGTGGCAGTGGCCAGCAATTGTGTGCAGCATTGCCCGGGGGTCCTGTGTCCGTCAGTGGCCCATCGGGAAGCTTCCTGGTGGGGTTTGAGGGCAGGACTATGATAGGGGAGGGTCTTGCCTGTGTCACGAACTCCAGAGAGGGTGCCTCAGGGTGGCCTCCCGACTGTCACTGTCACGATGTGCCCTTTCTCTCTTCCCACCAGAGACAGTCACACACATGCTCTCACACATTCATATTCATGTCTCACACACATGCGCACACACTTGCTCATACTCATACACATTTGCACTCACAATTACACACACACAGTCACACAGACACACTCTGAGGGTGACTGCCCTCTTTGGGATGGAGGAATCGCCTCCCTCAGACCCCAGCCAAGGCCCCTCCTGCCTCCTTGGGGTCCTTCCCCAGCCTGGAGGTGATCTGGAGCTGACCAGCAGCAGTTCCGGTAAGTGGGGGAATGATAGACTTGACCTTCACTTCTGAATCACAACAGAAAAGGAGGAGGAAATGGGGTAGGGAGCTCCGGGGATATTGAGCTATTTGAGGCCTTGGGAGTTGGAGGTAGGTAGGTCATGACTGTGAACTGGGTGACCAGGGAGTCGGGAAGAGACCCCCGGGGGGCTGTGAGCAGGACAGGGTGTCCTTCGCACGGAGCTCAGTTCCTTGGCTCTTCTCTCCATCAGATGCATGGGAACAAACAACACCTGCAGAAGGACTTCTTCCTGTACAATGCTTCCAAGGCCAGGAGCAAAACCTACATCAATATGCGAGAGGTGTCCGAGCGCTTCCGCCTGCCTCCCAGCGAGTACGTCATTGTACCCTCCACCTATGAGCCCCACCAGGAGGGAGAATTCATCCTCCGGGTCTTCTCCGAAAAGAGGAACCTCTCTGAGTGAGTCAGCCCCCCGTTCCCCACCTGTCCCTAAAAGCCCATGCAGCCCATCCCAGAGATTGGAGGCATGAGGTAGCTGGACCCGTCCCCTCTAGGAGTCCTGGGTAGGCTGACCGGGCTGTCCCTCCTCCCCTGCTCCTGAGCCCTAGCCCCACCTCCTCCATCAGTCAGTCTGTCATCCCACAGATATTTCTTGAGCACCTGCTGTGTTCCAGGCACTCTTCTTATAGGCACTGAGGATAGTGAATTAAACAAAGAAATCCCTGCCCTCGTGCAGTTTAACATTCTAACAGGAGACAAGGCATGGGGAAAAACACACACATATATGTTACAGGAAGATAAGTGATAAGAAGAAAGAAAGAGAGTAGGGAACAGGAATAGGAAGCATTGGGGGTGATGGAATTTTTAGGTAAGGTGGTCAGGGAAGTCAGCACGGCCCCCATATCCTGCATTTTTGGTCACTGCAGATGAGCTCCTAAGCCCAACTCCTCTGAACTCTGCCCTTGAAAGAAACACAAGGTCCATGGGTAGGTGGCTGGGCCTGACTTTGGGGAGCTCTGGGCAAAGCCAGCAAGAACCCATGTGTGTGCCCTTGGCTGCTGGGGCTGGTGCCAACATGGGGCTGGTTCCTGCGGTGGGAGAATTAGGTCCTGGGGTTCCTTTGAGGTCAGTCCTGATCTGGCTCTGAGAAGCTGCGTGACCTGAGCAAATCCTCTCTGTGCTTCCTGCTTGCTCCTGGTGACACTGAGACACCCCCCCCCCCGACGTTTGTGTTTCTCACAGGGAAGTTGAAAATA